TTTGCACTCATTGTTTTGAGAAATGCACTAACTGTTGTTAAAATGTGAAGAATTATGTGAAAAATGCACCAAAGACACTGAGAAAAACTGATTACAAAATATATACAGCGCATTCTCAGGGTACACAGCACTGCCATGGCATCTCTTCTGCTTTGCAGCTCTCCCTCCCCCACACGAATAAACAAAGCCCACCCCAGCCCCCTGCTGTTATAAGTCATTACCTACATTTGCAAATCAATACATGCAAATGTTAGCAGCCAACCTAGCAAGTTAGCTCCCTGTTCTCAAAACAGGGGCCAATTTCGGTTGGGTTTTCTAGTGTTAAGAAGAACAGGTGCGAGAGATGTGAGCAGAGAGAGAGAGACGTGAGCAGAGAGAGAGAGACGTGAGCAGAGAGAGAGAGCAGAGAGAGACGTGAGCAGAGAGAGAGAGACGTGAGCAGAGAGAGAGAGACGTGAGCAGAGAGAGAGAGCAGAGAGAGACGTGAGCAGAGAGAGAGAGACGCGAGCAGAGAGAGACGTGAGCAGAGAGAGAGAGACGTGAGCAGAGAGAGACGTGAGCAGAGAGAGAGAGGGACGTGAGCAGAGAGAGAGAGACGTGAGCAGAGAGAGAGAGACGCGAGCAGAGAGAGAGAGAGAGAGGTGAGCAGAGAGAGAGACGCGAGCAGAGAGAGACGTGAGCAGAGAGAGAGAGACGTGAGCAGAGAGAGAGAGAGAGAGAGAGGTGAGCAGAGAGAGACGTGAGCAGAGAGAGAGAGACGCGAGCAGAGAGAGAGAGCAGAGAGAGAGAGACGCGAGCAGAGAGAGAGAGAGAGAGACGTGAGCAGAGAGAGAGAGACGCGAGCAGAGAGAGACGTGAGCAGAGAGAGAGAGACGTGAGCAGAGAGAGAGACGTGAGCAGAGAGAGAGACGTGAGCAGAGAGAGAGAGTGAGCAGAGAGAGACGCGAGCAGAGAGAGACGCGAGCAGAGAGAGATGCGAGCAGAGAGAGAGAGGCGTGAGCAGAGAGAGAGAGAGAGAGGTGAGCAGAGAGAGACGTGAGCAGAGAGAGACGTGAGCAGAGAGAGAGAGACGTGAGCAGAAAGAGAGAGACGTGAGCAGAGAGAGACGCGAGCAGAGAGAGAGAGACGTGAGCAGAAAGAGAGAGACGCGAGCAGAGAGAGAGAGGCGTGAGCAGAGAGAGAGAGAGAGAGAGTGAGCAGAGAGAGAGAGAGAGAGGTGAGCAGAGAGAGACGTGAGCAGAGAGAGACGTGAGCAGAGAGAGAGAGACGTGAGCAGAAAGAGAGAGACGTGAGCAGAGAGAGAGAGGCGTGAGCAGAGAGAGAGAGAGGTGAGCAGAGAGAGAGAGAGAGAGAGGTGAGCAGAGAGAGAGAGACGCGAGCAGAGAGAGAGAAAGGTGAGCAGAGAGAGAGAGACGCGAGCAGAGAGAGAGAGACGCGAGCAGAGAGAGAGAGAGATGCGAGCAGAGAGAGAGAGATGCGAGCAGAGAGAGAGAGATGCGAGCAGAGAGAGAGAGATGCGAGCAGAGAGAGAGAGGCGTGAGCAGAGAGAGAGAGCAGAGAGAGACGTGAGCAGAGAGAGAGAGACGTGAGCAGAGAGAGAGAGACGCGAGCAGAGAGAGACGTGAGCAGAGAGAGACGTGAGCAGAGAGAGAGAGCAGAGAGAGACGTGAGCAGAGAGAGAGAGACGTGAGCAGAGAGAGAGAGACGTGAGCAGAGAGAGAGAGACGTGAGCAGAGAGAGAGAGACGTGAGCAGAGAGAGAGAGCAGAGAGAGACGTGAGCAGAGAGAGAGAGACGCGAGCAGAGAGAGACGTGAGCAGAGAGAGAGAGACGTGAGCAGAGAGAGACGTGAGCAGAGAGAGAGAGACGTGAGCAGAGAGAGAGAGACGCGAGCAGAGAGAGAGAGAGAGAGGTGAGCAGAGAGAGAGACGCGAGCAGAGAGAGACGTGAGCAGAGAGAGAGAGACGTGAGCAGAGAGAGAGAGAGAGAGGTGAGCAGAGAGAGAGAGATGCGAGCAGAGAGAGAGAGACGTGAGCAGAGAGAGAGGGACACGAGCAGAGAGAGAGACGTGAGCAGAGAGAGAGAGACGTGAGCAGAGAGAGAGAGACACGAGCAGAGAGAGAGAGAGACACGAGCAGAGAGAGAGACGTGAGCAGAGAGAGAGAGCAGAGAGAGACGTGAGCAGAGAGAGAGAGACGTGAGCAGAGAGAGAGAGACGTGAGCAGAGAGAGAGAGACGTGAGCAGAGAGAGAGAGCAGAGAGAGACGTGAGCAGAGAGAGAGAGACGCGAGCAGAGAGAGACGTGAGCAGAGAGAGAGAGACGTGAGCAGAGAGAGACGTGAGCAGAGAGAGAGAGACGTGAGCAGAGAGAGAGAGACGCGAGCAGAGAGAGAGAGAGAGAGAGGAGCAGAGAGAGAGACGCGAGCAGAGAGAGACGTGAGCAGAGAGAGAGAGACGTGAGCAGAGAGAGAGAGAGAGAGGTGAGCAGAGAGAGAGAGATGCGAGCAGAGAGAGAGAGACGTGAGCAGAGAGAGAGGGACACGAGCAGAGAGAGAGACGTGAGCAGAGAGAGAGAGACGACGAGCAGAGAGAGAGAGAGACACGAGCAGAGAGAGAGACACGAGCAGAGAGAGAGACGTGAGCAGAGAGAGAGGGACGCAAGCAGAGAGAGAGACGCGAGCAGAGAGAGAGAGAGACGCGAGCAGAGAGAGAGAGACGCGAGCAGAGAGAGAGAGACGCGAGCAGAGAGAGAGAGACGTGAGTCCGCGTGTCTATGGTCCGCGCTCGGAGCCCAGACGGCAGTGCGTTCACTGAGCGGAGGATGTAACGTAACGTTCGGTTTATCAAAACATATCACAATATTTAATGTATATTAAATAAATTCTAGTGAATTTCACCTAGATTTTTTCAGACATTAAAGACAAGATGTTATATAATAATTGTTTAATGAAAAAACAATTTTGCCACAAGCAACCAAAAGATGTGCCTCAGACAAGAATCGAACCTGGGTTCTCCAGGTCCCAGTCTTTGATGCTAACCATTGGGCCAACATAGCACCTCTGGGCTAGACAGGTTTGCACGCAGTCTTATACCTGAGCGTCTACGTCACTGGCAGAGCTAAAGTGGACTTAGCCTGCCACCTTGTGGCGATAAGATGTACTATTTTTCACGCAGCTGCGTGATTCCCGAGAAGCGTGAATGAAGACGACAAAACGGAATGGGACCTACTGTATGCAATGACCCTTTGGACATGGAAGACTGAACTGTTGCCATTTCGCAACAACCAATGTCATAGGCGTAGAAGACATTGAGCAGAGTTTTGGAAATGAAAACATAAACATTGTAATAATGATCATAGAATAATAAAAGCACAGCCACATGAAACTGAACTACCAAAGTAAATTGATTTAATAAAAATATCTATTTTTGTGTATGCTTCGTGTCTTATTCGTGTGTGTTTTTTTTGTGTTATGTGGAGTCTAAGTAAACTATGTTTGACATGATGAGCTACATCTATAAGTCGTGAATGAAATTATTTTCATTTGCAGTAAAACATTGGTTTCATAGGAAAAGTATTTCCTATGAATAGCTGTTTTTTCAGCTATGATTATGATTATTATCAGGTTCTGCTGAATCACGTGTGACTTTAGAAGACTTAATTGAAGAGTTCCAAATAGGCAACGCTCCAGAAATAGACAATGTTAACAAATACCATGATTCATTGTTGGTGAAACAGTGAGTGAGAGGTTCGCCTTGTATTCAGCAGAAGAACCAGGGAGGAACAGAGAACCAGGCACGACAGGACAGACACAACCACCATCTTCAAGGTCCATGGGGGCCTTCAAGCTACGTCCTGCAGCAGCACCTCCTCCCTATTCATTGTTCAAGCACCTTCATAGCTTCTTTTGGGTAGGATCAACATGGCTGATCTACCTCTTCAATCTGGAAAGAGACCAACACACCTCCCACACCAACTTATCCCAAGATCGAATGGAGGTGAGAATGCAAGGCAGCGATTGCTTCCAGTAAATCTCTAAGGCTCACAGCAACTGAAGCACATCCCATATACATTGATGCCTTTTGCATTTCGGTTTGTAAACACATCTCTTCGATGTGCTGAGTGATATTAAGAATAGATACATATTATGTTATATTTATTTTACAAGCCTATGTTGGTTTTTTACACTGTAATATGCAATGCAGTGTAAAACTTCAGACTTGTCATTAGAATGTTGTTTTTAAGTTATCATTTTAATGAATCCTATGTGGCTGAAATACATGCCCATGTTGGATGGTTGCGTGGTTTGGCTTGGCTGACTTGAGGTTAACCTGGCGCTGATTGGCTAAGGCTTTGACGCCAGCAGAAAGCACCAAAACAACCGGCATTTTAAAAATCCAGCAGCATTTGCCCAGCAGAATTAGCCTAGCAGCATTAACCTAGCAGACACTAGCCTGGCCTTTGCCATCCGTAAACTCCGGTCAAATCTTTTTTTCCCGGGATCAAGTACGAGGGTATGGTAAAACCAGGCTAAGCAGACACCACTGGAAAAAGCAAACAACAGCACGACATTGATTCAGACAGGGTTTGAGGCACCGCGGGGAATAGAAAAGATATATTAAGACATATCAGCTTCACCTCGAAGCACTGGGGATTCATCACACTTCAAAAAGCAAGCCGTAAAAACTGAAGCAGGACTATAAAAAAAAACTCAAAGACCGCAACAACCGGAGCCGTTACGACTGTAAAATAAACAAATGGGTTTGGCATAATGAGTTTCGCTTATGCGGCAATCGAAACTTATCGTCGCCAAGTGGTCCTACTCTGCAGTGGAGACACGGACACTGAGAGGACCGAGGGGGAGGACGGTTCTTGTAAAAGTTCCACCCCGCTCCTTTTAACAGAAACTCCTGCGGTGGAATTGCGGCTAATACAGGTATTCAGTATTTTGTAACCACTACTACTGTAATTATGCACTTTGAGTATTCTCAGCCCATACTCACAGCTGCTGTCCCGGGTTGAGAGAGCCAGCGTCTATCTCTCTGTCGATGTCTGTTCTCAAATCGTCCAGCGCTCCATCGTCTCCAAACGCTCCCCATTCCGTGTTCACGCACATGCGGCCCTCGTCTCCGTCCAGCACCTCCAGGTGACGCATTTGCTCCATGTAACAAGCATTTGTTCCAGTGCCTTCAAGAAAACATTACAAACTATTCTTAGCCAGTGAAAAGGATTTAGATGTTTTCATGTTTTGGAATCTAAAAAGTCATGACACAAATGAACATTTAACCTGCCTGTCAACAGAAATACAACCTAATTAGAAACCAGCATTACCTGACGAGCTGAATTCCTTTAAACAGCAAAGGTCATTTTCTGACCACTTTGCAAAAGCCTGGTCTGAACCAGGTTGGAATAAATGGTTATTATAAATTGGAGCATTGAACATTATTCCATTTGCATAGACCATGTGACATCTCCCCAATGGCTGTGGGGGATTTGTGTTGAGCCCTGCACACAGCGGGACTTGTTTGATGTGCAGGGCACTCCTCACTTTGAGAGAGTGAGAACATGCAAACTGAGCAGAGATGGACGTGGATGTGAAAATGCCTTTGTTTTGAAGAAAAATGCTTCTTTGTGGATTTACATGAATTTGTCTTTGCTGGTTTGTGGCTTTTCTGTGCGCATCTTGTTACAGTGAAGCTTTACTTGACCCTACAAACACGTAGCAGTGTTTATATAAATATGGGAAACAGATGGGTGAACACTGTTTTTTTAACTCAAAGCTGAAGCACAAATTCAGACTGCAAGACCGGCCACAGCTCTCACCCGTCCAGGGCCGGCCAATCACACAGCTCTTCCAGCCTCTCGAGCCAGCCTGTGTGATTGGCAGAGGCTGGCCAGCAGCAGATGATCTCCCCTCTGCAGGTGTCACTGCTGGGGTCAATGCACCAAACAAATACATTTTTTTTCATGCATTCTGACATTAGAATGTTATTTAAGTTATAATTTAGTAAATCACATTTGGCTAAAATATATTGTAGAAAGCTTGTATTGTAATTCACTTTAGCTCCAGAAAGACTCAAGGAATTCTGGCGGGCTCGTATGTTAAACATCAGGAGGAAGCAGGCTTTGTACACGCTAATCAAGCCCCGGTGATCCAAGATGGCGCCGTATTCAATTGTTTGTTTGTTTTTTATCTTTAATTCAGATACACAAAGGGTCCATATAAAACAAAACACAACAATAAAAGAGACAAACAACACACATAAATCAGATGTTACAGAATTCTATACAGACAGTTTCTCCAATGCCTCCAGAGATCAGAGGTGAGCCTAACACTGCTCTGTACAGTAAAAACATTCTTATATTACATTTAAAGAGTGCTCAGAGCGTTTCATGAACTTATAAATACAGTTTCTGATCACAGCAGTCAGAGTGGGGACATTATTAAAAACAAACAGTGAGCTGGCACTAGTCCAACGAGGGACTCAGTAAAATTCTAAGTGCATCACTGTATGCAACCTGCAGCTTCTTAAAGTTACTCTTACTGTATCTGCACCACAAGTGGGCAGTATAGAGGTGTGCAGTAGGCTTTAAACAAGTTATTTTCACATTATCAGTACACATGTGAAATCTCCGTGCCAAAGTGTTAGCCTATCCATACAGCTTACAGTATTGCCTCTGGATGTCATCATCATCACTGAGGTCACTCCTGATTACGTGCCCCAGGTATTTGGCCTTCTCTACATTCTGAAGCACCACAGCAAATGAATGGCTTGTGCTCAGTAGCGCATGGGACTTCACAGAGACCAGGAGATTAGCAGAACTCGCCTATATTTGGGCATCGTCTGGTCCTCCCGGTTCTGCGCAGTGGACGAGCTCCCATGATGCGTTGCCCCACATACACGTGTGTGGCTTTCATGCACGTGCACAGAGGGGCTCGGCTGTAAAATGTGGACTTAAAGAAAACCGAAGGATTTAAGAAGAAAAAAAGTTCAGGATGACAAGGGACACAAAAATCCCCACAAAATACGATATTTCTGAAAGCTGTAGGTTCTCTGTCAGCTGAGGTTGAGCCGTTTTAATTTACATTGAGTTCTATGGGACTTTTTTCTGGGTAGCCCGCGTGAATTTAGTTTGCAGTACTACGGGCGCCCCCTGTGCTCACGGGTGGTACAGCTTAAAGCTAGTAATATCCTATCCAGTTAATATAATAGATCCATGACGCTAATACAGAGAGTCTTTTGTTGTATTGGTACTTCCTTTCCTATCTGCATTTGAAGGTCTTGTACTATCTAAAGGACCTTGGAGACTGCTGAGCTAAAGACATGCTATGGAAGGAGGCTGGGCTGGTTGTGCATTTTCTCTTAAGACATGTCTCCTTGGAAAGGCAACCAAGTAATAAAGAATGCCTGAACTATGTCTTTTGTCCAAGTGCTTTTGTTAGGATTGACTGTAAATTACAGCATTAACACATTGACTCTGGTCTGTGAAAGGCGGTATATAAATAAAGATTACTTACTTACTTACTCATGTTTCTGTCTTGGGCTCTTCAGATTGAATTAATCAAACCAAATAAGACTGACAGTCCAACAGTGAGGAAATTTCAGTGTTGCAGCACAGATACAGGACAGAAGTAAGACCACACAGGGAGCACACAAATATACAGAAAAGCAACAAAGTTGATTGGTGCTTTGGCTTTTCAATCAGTGGTCTTGTTTTATTGTGGTGTTGGGTGCACTAATATACTGTCGCTGATGGCTGAACGACAGCTGTGTTTGTTTGTGAAAAATAAATAACATTTTTCATAATTAGAAATTAACGGAATGACAATGCACATCCATCATGGAGGACAACAGTTACGTAAAAGAACCATGGAGGGCCACAGTTATATAAAAGAACAACACTAACAACAATCTTTTAGAATAATAATTATGTAAAAATCTATAAACCGATGTCATAACAGCAACGTATCTACATCGTAAACCACACGCACCAAAAGGCAGAATTAAAACAACAGGAGGCACATTGCTGTAGTTTGTACACAACAGACTCACACGTGAACAATACGTAACTTTCTTCACACCAGCAATAACCGTCTTCACACTGACAATAACAAGGAAAAATCTGCAACAGCGGTCTCGGGATGTTCTGACCCGGTCCACGTCTAACAACTATGTCACAAGTTTCAATCAAACTTATTCAGGTACAAGCCTCAAATAAAACACACAGAATCCCCTGCAATAAAATTGCCACAATATGTTTATGTTTTATGTTGGTGATGCGGATAGGGCGCTGTGGCTAACGCTAAAGCTAATATGAGCTTTAAGCCATGTTCTGCCGCGGCTGTGTATATGTCTGGCCTCTGATCACCGCATTTGTTAAACTATATTTTATAGAGCCTCTGTGTAGCGGGTGCCTCTTCGGAACGCAGACTTGTTTACATGTCGGCTCCACGCTACTGTGTCAAGTGACCAAGACTATGGAGAGATGCGGTCATTTATCAAACTAAAAGATTCTTTCCTTGGCGGCCCGGTGAATGACTGAGAGTTGGGGAGCACTGTCAAAGACACGTATTGTCCAACGAAGGCTTCCATAGTACCCTGGACTGCAACATAAGATCTCAACGCAAGATGGGAGTAAAAACTACACAGTGTACCTTCAAGCAAAGATGAGTTCATACATTTTCAATACAATAAAAAATATATGTTTCTGGATATTCAAAATAAAATGATCTAAATATAGTAGATAATTAGAATTGATCGGGTATGCATGTAGTCACCGGCAAGCATTAGTGTGGTATGTACGTGTCACCATATACACACAACACCACTTCAAAACATATCCTTCTGTAAACTATGGGCACATACTATGGTATCACATCAGTGTACAGATTATGTAAATGTATTGTATGTTTTCATACATTTATGTATATGTGATGTATGTGTTGCCTATCTTCGCCATTGAAACTAATGTGCCATCACGTTTGGCGCTTTGGTCTCTGGAGAAGTGAATCCCAAGTGTGAGCCACGGTGAAAGCCCCTCGTCTCTGATTAGTAAGCAGTAAGTAAGTAAGTAAGCTTTTATTTATATACCGCCTTTTTCACTGCACATCGGAGTCTCAAAGCGGTTTACAATTGTTGGGTGGGGGTCGCCAGTACAGGAGCTACATGCCAGACCTATTGTACATATTTTTAGTGGTAGGGGAAACCGGAGCACCCGGAGGAAACCTACGCAGACACGGGGAGAACATGCAAACTCCACTCAGAAAGGCCCTGGTCCGACCGGGATTCGAACCCAGGACCTTCTTGCTGAGAGGCGAGAGTGCTATCCACTCAGCCACCGTGCCGCCCGCTCTGATGGTCTGTGCGCCCCGCTTCCTGAATTCAATCGCCTCTCGTATCCATCTTTTGTATTTATGTTCTTCTGTTCCTACTATTTTTGCATTGTCCCAGTCCATGATGTGAATTTCTCTTTTGCAGTGGTCTGATATTGCAGATATGAGGTTTTCCTGTGTTGCCTTTTCCTTGGTTGATCTTGTTAGTCGCTGTTGTAGAAATCTAAATGGGATTATAAATTAATTTAATTTAAGAATGAATCTAATAATGATATTATGCACTCTGGGACAAAGGTCAAGCTAACTATCTGTTGTTCTGTAGAAACGCGAGGCCAAGGAATGAAGGCACAGAGTGAGGCTAATCTCCCCCAACACAGTCCAATACTGGTGAGTGTTGTTTGATGATTTAAATTCATTGAATTTTAAAGACTTTTTATTTTCTATTTCATAGTAGCCTGTAGACCTATAGAATAACCGGTAGTAGTCTTTTAGTATGCACTAGCATACAATAAAAAAATAATATGCAAACAATTAATAATGATGAAAACGTAAAAAGTATATGTTTGAAAATGTTGATATAAACTAACTAATTAATAAGATCAATATTCTCTTTCTCACAGGATGTTGTCACACGATGGGGCACTAAGCAGAAGATGGTAGAGAGGGTGCTGGAGCAACTCCCAGCCATAAGACGTGTCCTGGTTGAAGACAGAAAACATGACCACCTCAACCCAAGCTGGCAGGATGTTTCTGAGTTGGAATCCATCAACGCAGCAATGAAACCACTGGCTGACTTCACAGACATACTCTCAGGGGAAAAATACGTCACAGTGTTCTCAGTTAAGCCTGTGCTAGAACTGATTAAAGACGACCTTCTCTCTCCAGGCCCTGATGTTACTGGACTGACAGCCAGTATTAAACAAAACATGTGCAGGGTACCGACTGAAAAATACAGCTCATCTGCAATTCAAGTCCTCCTGAGAAAGGCCACCCTCTTGGATCCCAGATATCGTGGCAGCATGGAGGAGGCAGGCGCAATGGAGGATGCCAAACATCAGCTTGTGGAAGAGCTACTGGACTTAGAGCCAGAAGGAGAAGGTACTAGTGGTGAGAGCTGCAGCACAGCCGCTGAAGGAAACGAGGATGAACCTACCAAGAAGAAGAGGCTGAGTGACCTTCTTCAAAAAAGAACTCATTTCACAAGTCTGGCCCAGGCTACATTTCCAAAAAGAGTGCTGGCTGATGCAGAGCTGACCAAGTTCCTCCAAGAAGATGCACTTGATGCATCTTGTGATCCCTTGATGTGGTGGCGTGATAATCAAAAAAGATATCTGTTAGTGGCCAAGTTGGCCCAAAAATACATGTGCATTTGTGCAACAAGCACCAGCTGGAAACACTGCTACTCCTGAGAGATCCCGTCTTAAGCCACACAAAGTCAACATGTTGGTATTTCTTTCTCGGAATCTGCCATAAAATCTCTCTTTGAGAAATGATTGACATTTTTGAGGCATCTGTTTCATAATTTTGTTTACAAAAGGTCCTGACAGTTTTATTCCAGATCATTTTTTGTTAACAGAGACTGAGAGTCAATTGTATTTATTGTTTTTGGTTGTTTGTTAATTTATTGTGTACCTGCATTATTATCATTGTAATAGATGCAAATGATCTCAGAACAACAATATAATTGCCTATCGCAATAATTTCTGAGACAATTAATCGTCCAGCAAAATGTGTTATCGTGACAGGCCTATGGATATGTTGCTGTGTGGTACTTTCGCTGCTTTGAGGATGCCTGTTAATGTGTTCCTAAGATCTGCCTTTTGTATCTTATTGCCCGCTAACTCTGTTGCTAATATGAACTCTTCGTGTGGTATTTTGTCCGGTGTGATGGCAAAGTTTAGTTCTCGTTTTATTATATTCTGTTCCGTGTCCGTAAGTGTTTGTTTTGATAGATTACCAATCCATTTGTGTCATTACTGGATCCCTGTGTGCGCTGTCTTTTGTTTGTAATGAGTTTTTCTAGCTTACCGATTTATCGCTTCTTGATTGTTTCAAATTCTTTTTCGTATGCGTGTTGTAAATGTCTGTCCATCCATAGTTTTTCTTCCTCTTGTAGGGGGTCTTCTTCAAAATGACGTGTTTGTTCCCGTAGCTCCTTAGCTAGCGCTTCTATTTTGTTGTTTATTATCCGTATGCGTTCTTTTAGTAAGTCCCGTTTTGCTTTGTTGATTATCCTGTCAGCGTTCCTCGTGTGTATGGGGTTCTTGATTCTAAGACTTTTTGGAGTCACATTTCCCTGCATCTCAGGCTGAATCTAAGGTGGTTGTTCTGGCGGGCTTGGACTTTTTAATCTTCTCCAGATGACGGAATGCTTTGAGACACCGTGGTCCAAATCTTCCGCGTATTAAATGTAGAAAGTTAATTTTGTCTTCTTATGTTTAAGGCTTTAAAGGTTCTTTTAATTAGACAAAAAAGCAAGAAAAAGGCTGGTACTGCTTAATTACCTGACATGTTTTGGCGGTACACTTTGGCCTTCATCAGAGGTGACGAAGCGTACCGCAAATCTTCACATATCCAATAGATTTTTATTTTGCAAGTAAAACGCAGAATAATTAGTAATTAGAGTTAAGTCATAATGATGATATAATTAAGTTGGGGGACCAAAGAAATACCAGAGACCAGACGAACACAGATACATTCTCTGTTTTTCATTGATAAATTGTCATCTGGTAAGACCTCCTGTGATTCTGCCTCTCATTTTGACTACTAGTTCACTCACCTACAATGAGTCCAATCTCACAGTGCTGGTCGTCATAGCCACAGGTCATCATGGCTCCCACTGTGTCGTTAATTACTGCAACAATGTCAATGTCAAAATCCTGCACCAAAAGAGAAGTATATAATTATGTACATTACACACACATTAGCACACCAGTGTATGAAGATGGAGTCACATCTACAGTATAACCTGTGGGTCTGTATCTGACCACTCAGGAAGCATGTACCATGTGACTTGTACGTATTCTAATTACATCAACTCATTAGTGGATTGCCTTTGTAGATCAGGGACACAAAGAATGTACTTGAGACTATGGAGGACCAAAATTGTCAAAAAATAAATTCATGAATAAAAACATAAACATTGCAATGTGCAAATAAATATTAAGATAAGACGACAAATTAAAGATTGATAACAAAAAACGTCAGATTTAAAAATGTATACAGTTATTAGTAAATTATTATAAGTTATTTTCTGTATGCATTTATTATTAAACTTGATTACAGACACGAAGTCCAGATGAGAAAGATAAGTCCAGATACGATTATTAATTTAATCAATTAAATTATTTATTTTCTCTTTAATTTAGGGCTGTCAAATGATAAAAAAATGTAATTGAGTTAATTACAGCTTAAAAATGTATTAATCGTAATTCATCACATTATGAACTATTGGCAAAATGATGCCATATTTTTCTGTAAATGGTTGTTTGAATGGAAAGATAAATGAAAACATAATGTACATATGTACTCTATTTGTTTATTATAACAATAAATCCACATAAAATGGCATTAACATTATTAACATTCCGTCTTTCTGTAGTAGACACTATTTTTTCAGCACCACATATTCCGCTTCAGCTAAAGCCTCCTCTGTCTTCTTCTGTCTCATAAAGGCTGTGGATCCGATTCATTATTGTGCCTCTTGCTGGTGGCTTGTAGGATGGATCGAGGGATACTACCCTCAATGTTTTAGCGAGACCCTTATCTTCAACTATGCTAATCTGTCCAGGCCTGGACTGGGACTAAAAAAAGGTTTTCAAGGTCATTTACATGGTATGTGGAAGCACATACTGTAGAGCAGGGGTGCCCAAACCTTTTGCTTCCAAGGGCCAAAGTAAAAATTTGCCAGTGGGCCGCGGGCCAAATACACCGATATTATGCATGAAACACAAATAAATGTAGATTTGATCAAGTTCTTTTAAATGCATTAATTATTGTCCATCACGAATCACAGCTGAATGAATGAAATCAACACAGTCTTAGTGAAGTGGAGGCTCCAGGGAAATATGCAGGTTTGAGGAGACTACAGTACGGAAAGATTCCGGCCGGGTAATCAGGGTCCAGAGGAGGGAGATTTTCTGTCATGGCTTATTTAAAGGTTAAAATCATATAATAAAACCTCAAAAAGAGAACAGAAACATACATTTTGTGTGCACCATGTGCACTTGTATATTGTAAATAGTAACTGTAACTCTATTTTAAATTTAAATTTATTCCTTAGAAGTGTTTTTTATTCTTTATTTTTATTATCTCTGTTGCACTGAGCCAAAGCAATTTCCAAGTCTATTTTCATATATTTATTTTGAACAATACTTTTTAACTACATTGGAATCATATTACTTTATCTTAGCTTTTATCAAAAAGGGGAGACATCACTGATCAATAGATCTGGTTTTAGCACACTTTTAAACAATACATTTTAACATTAAGTAATGAATTTAGGAACATAATTGCTAACTGCATTTTCTAAACATGACCAGGTTTTAACTCTGTTTTAACTTAATATTTTTAACATAGGGCAAGTATTCTCAATTAGTAGTGAACTGAATATTAAACTAACAAAATCAGACTAGTTAACCATGATTTATTCCTGGAGTTTTGTTTTGTTTTGCCTAAACACACTACAACATTTATAAACAATCAAAACAAAGTAACTGTTAAAGAGTCCGAGTTTCCGCTCCTCCAAAGGGCTCTTGAACGCATCATAAAACTCTGCGTAAGTTCTGACATTCAATGATCGCGAGTGAGGACGGCGCTTACCGGCTTCTTTCATGGGGTTGTAGAAGGGTTTGTTTTGCACAGTATTTGTTGCTTCTACTTGCGTGGATCGTGCGCTGCGATCCCTGCTTGTCCTGCTTGAACTCACTCTGAAGTGTTTGTGTCCGTCCTTTTTAACACACCGGGTGGGTGCGGATTGCGCAGGTGAATAGTTCCACTCGCCATTTCCCTCCGGTGAGGAGGGGGAGTGGCAGTTCGGCAGCACAATCCTCTCAATTTGATAAAACATTAAATAGCTCCAAAAAATAATAATAGTAGGCTGAAAAAAAGAACATAAAGGGGCCTTGCACCCAATTGTTTTGAAAGATGTGTTTGATTTTAAAAAACATTTTAGTGCAAGTTGATGTGAACCATGAGTGAGGAGTGTATCTCGATACAACAGTTAAGTACAGGACAGTTGGAGATCGGAGGGCGACTATGCGCCCGCGCGACCTCAGACATGTCACTATTTGTTCAGCGAGGCTGAGGGACGCAGATAGAAACTTATAGCGGAGGTGGGCAATGTTTGGCGGGCCAACTGAAATGGTCTGGCGGGCCAACTTTGGCCCGCGGGCCCCACTTTGGGCACCCCTGCTGTAGAGGATGTATGTAGTTTCAACAATTGAAATAATGTGCAATACATTACAAGAGAGTAATGTCACAACAAAGACTGAGGGAGATGGACACAAAGATGAGAACCGAGCTGAGCTGGGTCTTTACAGACATCTGTAACAAAGTTCTAACATTAAAGGAATAGTTCACCGTTTTTACATACTGACATATGTTCTTACCTTACCTTAGACTAGTTAGTCTCGCTGCTACTGTGTGTACTACAAGTCACGCTGCTTCTATTGACGGAAGTGAGCGAGAGAGAAGTCTCCGGAGAGAAGTTAGTGCGCGGACGTAGCGCTCCTCAGATTACTACGCCTCACAATATAGTACCCGCTTTATCCGCTGAGAAAATCGACTGTTACATTGCTGTGTTACTATACTTTGCAGTGTAACACGTCACGTAACTATATACATTTAATAGGGAACACTTGGAAGAGTTTGGTAGCTTCTAGCGGGAGCTACCTTTTGGTCCTACACAGTATACAGAGGAGGCTGCGTTTGTGCTCCCGTTTTTGCTCCGTTTGCATGACAGAGCGCACGGACTAAGACCAGACAGGTACGTATTAACTAGTCTAAGGTAAGGTAAGAACATATGTCAGTATGTAAAAACGGTGAACTATTCCTTTAACAAAGCCTTTTCTGTATTAGTGCCACTTACTCCTCTCTTTTTGATGGCCTTCCTCAGCAGACTGACGACCTCCATCCCCTCCACCCCAGTTGGCTTGAAGCCTTTTGTCCACGACATGAGGACAGCCTGTGAAAGCACATTAACAGTTTTTTTTTGTCAGATTCACAAATAAAAGATAAACAAAATATACCAAAAAATATACTACAGCATATATATACACACAACATGGGGGTAGCTATCATCATGCTGGATGTTAGTTTGTCCAGGAGCCTTCTGTCTCCCACTGGCTGCATTGTGTACAGGAGGGTGGGACAGCCCAGACGGACTGACGGAGCTGGACTTCCTGATGCTTAACTGGCTTCTTTCTGTGATGCTACTGCTCCAGCAGATCATTTGTAGAAGACTGCTGGTTGGCCCCCACATAGTGATAAAAAGGTGGCTTCTGGAGTGAGGCCTGCACATGTATAAATGTGTGCCTTTCTGCTGCTGGCTGCAACCAAATGGCCCCTCAGTGATGATAAAGATACATTTAACCTTGAACCACTCCAAAAGACCTGCTTTTTCTCAGCAGCTAGAGCTGGTTTCAGGACACAGCCCAATGTGAGCAGCTGATGTCTGTAGCCAAAGGCACAGTGAAAGCTCCATGAAACCTGAAGGTTACTCAAAGGTATATAGGAAGATATTCCCAAATTTTAGGAAAGAACCGCCCTCTCAACTTTTTGAACAAAACTCTGTCTTATTTGACAAGCACGTATCACCAAAATGATTGACAATTGGGAGGACCAATCGTCTTCATGATCCACCCGGAAGTAGAAAATCCTCCTGTACCTTAAAGGTAACCCTGGTTCTTTAAAAGACAACTAAACACCAAATCATCTTTTTTTAACTCATAAACTGCATAAATATGTTTCTTATAGTGCTCTCTTAAAATTCTGGTAATTTTTTTTGACATTTTAGTGCAAATTAGAAAAAATCTCACAAGTGAGCCAAAAAAAACGACTGTGTGGCGCCCTCTCTACCTTTTTGGTGGTACTACATTTGAATTTGGTCCTGGCCTCTCCATTGACTCTGGAGTGATGTGTGATATTAGTTTGTGTGTGTGACGTGCGTCTGTCTGCGCCAGTGATATAAACCAATCCAACTCTCACACACGCCCCAGCAGTAGGTTGGAGTATTCTGGCGACATCTAGTGGATTAAAATTAAATTACATCAATTGACCGCCACTACTGTCGAGATAATGCTGTGGCTTAGGTTCAGGTGTGTAGCTTTACAATTATCTTAGTGAGTAATCAAGGGTGGAATGAGACTTTCTGGTCTGTAAACTATTGCTTTAAGCAGCAATAACAACTTTTTTTTGTGTGACAAGCGAGCCGTCAATCACAGCCCAGACCACGCCCAACTCTAAACTCCCTTTCTTGTCCCATGGTCCTCGGGCAATGCCCTTTTTAGAGAAAATTTTCAAATGTTCGTGTTGGCGGAGTCAGGCTGGGCACACGTGTTTAGTCGCTCTTTAAAGACAGTTTGCAGTTAAGTAACGTATTTTCCAGATTATAAATTGCTCCGGAATATAAAAAGGTGAAATGCATAATAAAGAAGGAAAAAAACATGTATAAGTCACACTAGAGTACAAGTCGCATTTTTTGGGGAAATTTCTGTGATAAAATCCAATACCAAGAATAGAATTAAAATAAAGATAGACTAGAGAACAGGCTGAATAAGAGTAAGTTATATGACGAGTAATCAACAAACAGAGAACGTGCCTGGTTTGTTATTGTAACATATTACGATAAGAATCATTCAAATAACTTAAGCATATAGAACATGCTACAAGTTTACCAAATAATCCATGGCACTCCTAATTACTAAGTTACAATAATAGCTTATTCGCTCAATTTAATTAATTATTTGATATTTCACAGTAAATAATATATAACATTTTAAACTTAATAATTTCCCACATAAGTCACTCCAGAGTTTAAATCGCACCCCTGGCCAATCTATGACTAAAAACTGATTTATAATTCGAAAAATACGGCATTCACATGTATTTGTATCATTATCACAGAGTTTACCTCATTGGCCAATAATTTTCTTTAAAATGGTGAAAAAAACGATACTGTGTTTAAAGTAGGGGTGTGACAATATATCGATATACTAATATATTGATAAATCACGATACTTTCTCCCGCGATTCGATTATCAATATGCATTTGCCAAGTATCGATATCGATTTTGTTTTTTTTTTCTACAATTTCTTTTTTTCAAATTGGTATCAATACTTAATATATGGCTACATTACGCATCTCCATTCCATTTATCATGAAATAAATTGTATTTTTTCTTTTATTTATGCCATAAATTGGCATTTTGTATATTTCTGACCAATATATCGATGATCATCATATCGTGATAATATCGTTATCGTGAGCTTTGGAGCGGTGGTATTCTATGGGTCGGTTTTCTAGATGGTTCCTTCATACGTGTTGGTTTGTTTGTCTTTTTTTGTTCTTTGGTCGGATTTATTAAAGTTTTAGTGTCTTTGTTATTTTTTTGTATTATGTTTTTTATCTGATGTAAAGAAGATGATTTTGGTTTATTGGTTTAAATTTTTGATGTATCGTATCGTATCGTGAAGTACCCTTAGGTTCCCACCCCTAGTCTAAAGTGTGTACAGCGCCCGGGGCCAACCTCCGGATGTTGGTGCTCAGCTACATGGGACTCCTGGAGCTGGAGGATTTAACCTATTGGTGCGTTTTATTCATCAAGATGTGTGAAAATGTACGTTGAATAACTTTCTACTTCCCGGCACAGGTCACACTTCTGCTGCTGCTGTGACCTGAAGTGCTTTTGCATGTTATTACTATTGTTAGTGTTTTGTTTATATGGTCAGATGTGTTTCTGCTGCTACTGGACACCTGCATTTCTCCTGTGGGGCATCAATAAAGTATATATATCTAACTATCTATCTAGTTATATATTTCAAACATTATTAATTCCAAGGGAAACTCTCTTCAGAAATTTAAGAATCCTGTTAGGGCCAATAAAGGGCCAAAAATATTAGAAATATTGTATTATCTTGTTCCGTATGTTAGTGCCAACATGCTGCTCATTACAGATGATCATTCACCGAAAAAATAAATGTTGAATGAGAGGAATTCTAAAACATGTTTGTTGTTTTGATCTATCTTTGATTTTGTCCTCATAACCAAATCATGTATCGTTATTATTTAGGCAAATTCATTTTATGTACTAGGATTTAATGCTTTCTTTCTTTTAAATACATTGAATTACTTGTATGCTTTGTCCCATCAAAATATAAAAAAGTTTACTACCGATATAATATATGGTATTAGACTTTGATCCTGCTTCACTCACCTCATCCATTTTAGTTTGCTGACAGGGAAACGAAAAGGTGAAGCCCAGAGGAAGCTTTTTGTCTTTTATGCCCATTTTCTCCAAAAACTGAGCCAGACAAGCTGCAATGTGGTCAAAAAACTGCAACAAATGATGTAGACAATATATATTAAAAACATTGATGAATTCATCGTTCTCTCCAGGAGAGAAAGATGCATGTAACAAATATTGACTTTTCTTGGTGGGATTGAACATCGAGCCCCAGCGAAGAAGGTGTAGAATGTAGAGTTGAATTCTAATATGGAATCCCTCAATCTCGACAATTCACACACAACAAAAGCCGTTATCTTATTGTGTAAATGAGACTTAAACTACAGGACCTTAAGAAGAGATGTTGTCAATTAAACATGGACTAAGGCTAATGCAATAAGGACATTTTTTAGGTAATTTCATAAAGGATATTGATGCGAATATGTTTGTTTATATCCATATTTTAGGAGGAAACTTGAAATATATATATATATATATATGGAAGTTTTAATAATAACCAATTGAACCAATTATTTTCTTAATTCCTTTTTCATTTCATAAAAATGGCTTCTGCTCTTATTTAACAAATTAATTGATTACTACATATTTTGACTATTAATTCAACATTTGATTATTTGTGATTTTACAGTATCTGCAATAGAGCATGTGGTGCTATCGTCTGTATACTCTATGCTTCAGTTGCACATAAATCATTGGATAGATGGATGCTAAAGTTATTTAACTTTTCCACATCTGTAACTAAAATAATAAACAAATGTGTAAATATAATTACAATAAAATCACAGTTTCAAGTTGAAGTTACCTCAGAGCCACTGCCTCTCATGACGTCTTCAGGAATGACACAAATCTCACTTTCCATCTCCACTCGGTGATTCTCACCCGACAGCACTTTGACTAACAACACTCTGAAATTTGAACCCCCGAGATCTAACGACAGAAACTCTCCTTGTTCTGAAAAACAAATACAAAATCATGAAAAGTAACTATATCTAGATATCTAGAAGGTAATTATGGACTTCCATTTCAACAGCCACATCCAGCTTCAAACCAATCAAAAAAGATATCTGTTAGTGGCCAAGTTGGCCCAAAAATACATGTGCATTTGTGCAACAAGCACCAGCTCAGAGAGAATGTTTAGCACAGCTGGAAACACTGCTACTCCTGAGAGATCCCGTCTTAAGCCACACAAAGTTAACATGTTGGCATTTCTTTCTCGGAATCTGCCATAAAATCTCTCTTTGAGAAATTATTGAAATTTTTGAGGCATCTGTTTCATAATTTTGTTTGCAAAGGTCCTGACAGTTTTATTCCAGTTCATTTTTTGTTAACAGAGACTGAGAGTCAATTGTATTTATTGTTTTTGGTTGTTTGTTAATTTATTGTGTACCTGCATTATTATCATTGTAATAGACGCAAATGATCTCAGAACGACAATATAATCGCCTATCGCAATAATTTCTGAGACAATTAATCGTCCAGCAAAATTTGTTATTGTGACAGGCCTAGATTGAACCCGTAACCTTCTTGCTGTGAGGTTACCAACTCAGGTCATGTCCACACAAAAACAAAACAGCTAAACTGAACTACAGACAGAACTAGGTTTGTAAATGCGTGTGTCCATACAAGCTAAGAGCATAGTAATGTACATACCAGGCCTGGAGGCAGCAGCTGGCAGAAAAAACCCAATCAGAAAAAAGTGTGGAGCACATCCGCCTCTAAAGAAAGTCACGTCTCCACTCTGGGACCCAGTTTCAGAAATGACCTGGTTCTAGATTTATTGAGACAAATTCTTTTGCTGATACGCCTGAGATTACCATCCTGTGGACATGGCCTCAGCCTCTGTGCCATTGTGCTTCATGAATACATTGGAATGACTTAAAGTAACAACAAAGTGCAACCAACAATTACTTCTATTACTACTAACCATTGGCTAATTTACTAGCACAATTTTGTGGCCCAAAAGCTTTATTTACCAGTTCCATCGGGTGTAGAGCGAACAAATGTAGGCAGCATCTTGACAGCTGCTGTGGGGTTTGTATCACGACATAGCCCTTTGTCCATTTCACGGCGAAAACGCATTGATAGATCCATTAACGTCTCATCAGAGAGCTGGAGATGCTGCAGATACTCATCAACCTGAAATGGCAAAGACCTTTAAACCACAATGTATTTATGTTAGTAAACAGAGTTGGTGCTTGACGTTTACCATTTACCCTTTCATTACGTACAGTAAACATATTGCTAATGATACTGCTGCTGTTATCTTATCATGGTCATAGAAGAAAACAAGAATCGTCGGGGGTTTATTTCTCTTTATCTGGCTGTTGGCTGACACATGTTGGGTCTATTGAGACATGTCATAATTAATGAGGGTATTTTAACTAGTATGAGAGTGTCTTGGTTTTATACAGCGACAAACCCCTAACCACAGAGAACCTAATCTTCTTACTTACATCACTTGTTAATGAGGTTCTGGAAGCATAATGTAATCAAAATACTTCCATTATAAGTTATACTTGTACAAAGAAAACATGTGAGCCAATTTTAATCGATATGCATCAATTTCTCTAAATTATCTAAATGATACTTGATCAGTTGTTTAGGGCGCTGACATTAGATGCGACGTCATTAAACTCAGAGGGCTTTCGAATATTTTGGGTTTGCGTCTTCAAATGTGCAGATAACTTCAAAACCACAGATTAGGGAAGAAGTGCATGCGTTCCATCTACACCGGCTCTACAGGTGTTTCATTATCCTCTCTGAGCACAACTGCAATGAGACAAACAGCATGATCCCTGCCTAGACAAATATGAGGTGCAGGTGGAAAGCCTTCAGTTTGTCTCTGCATGAGTTTGTCACATGATTAATGTGTTACGAGTCACACAGTAGAATTTATCATAGATACCGTAGGTACACAGAAGAGGGAATCACAGGTGATTTATGGAGAATAGTCCAAATACTGTTTGCAACATTCTTAGAAAAATAGACAAGCAAACATTATTGAAAATGTGTCTGGTGATTATTGAAAATGTGAGTGACTTGTCTGGTGCACACTGGTGTAACTGTACAATGAGAACTTGTATGTCATCTCATCTGTAAATAGTAAATACTGCAGTGAACAAATAAAGGTTCTCTTATCTTATCTAATTAACAATGTTGAACAAGCACAGCCAGACGTGAAGTTTGAAAATAATCAAGAACAAATGGACAGGGATGAAAAAAAAGAAAAAATATATATATATTATATATATAAATGTATAACAATAATTATGGCACAGACTCAGCTCCTAAAGAAGTGGACTCAGGAGATGCCAGTAGCTCGTCTAAAGGATTTAGACATTTCAAAGGGTCCTTAAATATTTCAATACGTTTGCTTTGCTATGCCTGCACCGGGATGCATCTTTGATCTAGCATTTTGCATAAAAAATGTATAACAGCAGGCAATGCAAGGCAATACACGATGATCTGCATATACATACCACAGATCAGGGTGCGTAACATAAACAAGAAGCAAGAAAATCCTTACATAATTGATTGTTTATTGTTAAATACCCATCCATCCATCCATCCATTTTCTTCCCCTTAATCCATTTCTGGGTCGGGGGGATGGCAGTCAGCTGAGATCTTTCAGTTGGGGCTTTGGGCAAAGTAGGGTTAAGTGTCTTGCCCAAAGGACACAACGACAGCAGTCATCAGTGGGAGTCGTGAAGTAGGTCTTACGGTGGGCTCGAACCCACGACCTTCAGGCCCAAATGCTCTACCAACTGAGCTACTGTCGCCCTGTTCAATACCCATAAAACATTAAATTTTCATTCTAGGGCATTCTACATTGACTATATTTCTTTTGAATAGCCTGAAGGAGTAGTCCTCTGCCTTTTTCGTCCTAAAATAATTATTACAAAGTGCTTTAAATGTAAATGTGTGGCCTGAACCTGTCCATCTGATCCAGAATGATGCTCCCCACGTCTTCAACAAGGCGGCCAATGTTGGTGTATAAATATAGCAGCAGATACCATCATGCTAAGTTGAAGGTTGTTTGCCAGAGCTCAGTTTAACCTCAGAATGATATACCGTAAGGATCCAAATGCACGTAAAAGTCTGGAAACAGAAACAAAGTGTAAGTAATGACTCACTTTATGAACTTGCACATCGTGGCGCTCTATGGAGTAGTTTGCCAAGAGGCAGGGCGCAGTAGGAGATGACATTTCCCTCGCTAATGTAAAGTTAGTTCTATGCTATGTCCGTAGTTCCCTGTTTACTGCCAAACATGTATATTTCTCTACACGGATCCCTTATAGCTTTGAAACTAATGCAAACGTTTTTCCAAATAGTCGGAGTACAGTAGGAAGTGAGTGGCAGCTTCCTGGAGTCGGTCAAAGCCTGCGCTGATTGGCCACGCCCACTGACTTTGTTAAGGCGTAAATAAAATAATAAAATAATAAAAGTAATATATTTTTGGTAATAAAACTGTAAGGTAAAAACGGATATAATAATTATGATAACGACAATAATTAACAAATACAAATAATGATGTATGAAATTCTGTTTCATTCTGTTCCTTTTTGTTCATGTATGGATTTAAAAAAAAATGGTGTAATGGCCTGACATGACATGAGCAAATAAATAAATAAATGAAATAATAACAATATCAACATCAACAACGATAATAATAATACCAGTAAACATAATCATCATGTTCACGAAACACAATTTAGATACACCAGCAGTATTTTAGATCTAGCACATATGAGCTCATAATGAAATGTAATATTGTTTATGTTATTTTTAGTCATCTTTAATTCAGACTCAATTCTCCATCGTTTAAAAGAATAGGAATGCAATAAGAGAAAATGCAACACAATTTATGCGGTCAGTCCAAGCATTTCTAGGCTGTTTCAACCCAGTGCTTTCTCAGAGCACAGGTGTGGCTACATGAGCTCATTTTACAGTCGGTCAGAGTTGGCCCTCCTGAAAAATATAAGTTCATGAATCATGGGCTATTTAAGAATAGATCTTGGCCTATTCAACCCTCAAACAACTACACTGACTAAACCTAAAAGACTGACATTCTTTGTATTCATTTTACAGTAATAATTGTAACTAGAAACTTGCAATGGCTGAAGCCATTGCGATTGACTGCGGAACAGATCTAATGTGGAAATCTGCTAAAAAAAATCCTTGAAATCCTTTAAAAGGCCTTGAAACTGTTAAAATACTTGATAGATATTTGAAACTCCTGAAGTCCTTGAAATTGTTGAAACCTTTAAACTCCTGAAATCCTTGAAACTGTTGAAACATTGAAACTCCTGAAATCCTTGAAACTTTTTTTAAACCTGGAAACTGTTGAAAGTGTGGAAACTCCTGAAATCCTTGAACCTCCTGATATCCTTGAAACTGGTTAAATTCTTAAACAGTTGAAATCCTTGAAACTACTGAATGTATTGAAAGTGTCCTTGAAACTGAAAAATCCCCTCACCGCTGAAACAATTTGGTTCCTGTAACTAAGGAAACCTGGTCTGTGGTCATTATCTGGTGGTGGTCTGAGTCTTCGTTTGGGTCTTGGTCTGGTGGTATAATGCAACCTATTAGGTTGCATTATACTGGTTTACATGGAAAAATCCCTATTAAGTTGCATTATACTGGTTTACATGGAAAAATCCCTATTAAGTTGCATTATACTGGTTTACATGGAAAAATCCCTATTAAGTTGCATTATACTGGTTTACATGGAAAAATCCCTATTAAGTTGCATTATACTGGTTTACATGGAAAAATCCCTATTAGGTTGCATTATACTGGTTTACATGTACAAATCCCTATTAAGTTGCTTTATACTGGTTTACATGTAAAAACCCCTATTAGGTTACATTATAGTGGTTTACATGTAAAAATCCTTATTAAGTTGCATTATACTGGTTTACATGTAAAAACCCCTATTAAGTTCCATTATACTGGTTTACATGTAAAAACCCCTATTAAGTTCCATTATACTGGTTTACATGTAAAAACCCCTATTAAGTTGCATTCTACTGGTTTACATGAAAAAAACCCTATTAAGTTGCATTATACTGGTTTACATGGAAAAATCCCTATTAAGTTGCATTATACTGGTTTACATGGAAAAATCCCCATTAAGTTGCATTATACTGGTTTACATGGAAAAATCCCTATTAAGTTGCATTATACTGGTTTACATGGAAAAATCCCTATTAAGTTGCATAATACTGGTTTACATGGAAAAATCCCCATTAAGTTGCATTATACTGGTTTACATGGAAAAATCCCCATTAAGTTGCATTATACTGGTTTACATGGAAAAATCCCTATTAAGTTGCATTGTACTGGTTTACATGGAAAAAACCCTATTAAGTTGCATTATACTGGTTTACATGGAAAAAACCCTATTAAGTTGCATTATACTGGTTTACATGTAAAAACCCCTATTAAGTTGCATTATACTGGTTTACATGGAAAAATCCCCATTAAGTTGCATTATACTGGTTTACATGGAAAAATCCCCATTAAGTTGCATTATACTGGTTTACATGAAAAAAAACCCTATTAAGTTGCATTATACTGGTTTACATGAAAAAACCCTATTAAGTTGCATTATACTGGTTTACATGGAAAAATCCCTATTAAGTTGCATAATACTGGTTTACATGGAAAAATCCCCATTAAGTTGCATTATACTGGTTTACATGTAAAAAACCCTATTAAGTTGCATTATACTGGTTTACATGGAAAAATCCCTATTAAGTTGCATTGTACTGGTTTACATGGAAAAAACCCTATTAAGTTGCATTATACTGGTTTACATGGAAAAAACCCTATTAAGTTGCATTATACTGGTTTACATGGAAAAAACCCTATTAAGTTGCATTATACTGGTTTACATGTAAAAACCCCTATTAAGTTGCATTATACTGGTTTACATGGAAAAATCCCCATTAAGTTGCATTATACTGGTTTACATGAAAAAAAACCCTATTAAGTTGCATTATACTGGTTTACATGAAAAAACCCTATTAAGTTGCATTATACTGGTTTACATGTAAAAACCCCTATTAAGTTGCATTATACTGGTTTACATGGAAAAATCCCTATTAAGTTGCATTATACTGGTTTACATGGAAAAATCCCTATTAAGTTGCATTATACTGGTTTACATGGAAAAATCCCTATTAGGTTGCATGATTACACTGAAGTCCTTGAAACTGCTGAAGTCCTTGAAACTGCTGAAGTCCTTGAAACTGCTGAAGTCCTTGAAACTGTTGAAGTCCTTGAAACTCTTGAAATCTTGAAACTGCTGAAATCCTTGAAACTGTTGAATCCTTGAAACTGTTGAATCATTGAAACTGTAGAAATGTCTGAAAGAGCTGAAGTCCTATTAAAATGCATGGGCCTATTAAAATGCATTGCAGAATTCTCAATGCAGATTTTTGTCCGATTGCGGAAAAACCGGAAATCGCTGAAGTCCCAAAAGTAATAGCAATAATCTCCCAAACATGTGGAACGTTTTGATGTATAACTTGTGGAAATTGTTGAAAATGTGAAAGCTGTGAAACGTGTCAAAAAAAATGACGGAATAAAGAAATACAAAACCAATGGTTGACTGCGGAAGGTTCCGCAGTCAATCAATAAGCATAAACATTCTCAGATTGAATAAAATAGAAGAATTATTAATATACTGAGACCTTTTATTCATGTAAAAATAAAGGAACATGGTTAGAAAATATGGATATGTATCACTCTATGAAGCTTTTGAAAAATAGTTACACAACCTAGAAATATTAACAAGAAATAATTCACATTTATTTATTATTTTTAGTCTCACGTGGGACTTGAGTCATTATTTATTTAAGGCATTTAGCCGTTATGACCTATGTTGTAACTGTTGAGAAAATTTTATCATAGTTTGATGTTCTTAATTGCATTTGACCAACAAAGGGTTAAATGTAATGAATGTGTAGATGTTTATTCATTGATTCTGGAGTTCTGAACATGATGTTTTCAGGTGAGAAGAGCCATCTTCCCGGAGTGCCTCCCCGCATCCCAATGCTCATGGTTGTGTGTGATTCATCCGGTCTCCATCAGTCCATAAGTGCCCGCTGTGACAGGACCAATGACCCGGACCACTTGTTGGAAAAGTCTGATTAGTGCCATTTTCTCTCTACTGTCATTTTCATTGTGTGATGGGATGATGGCAATAGGACTGATTTCCTAAAGAATGCAATCACTTACTATCAGACAGAAGGCTCGATAGAGAGAGATGACGTAAATCCATGTAAGTCTGTTTTGTAACGCCTTTTTGTATAGCTGCTGTGATGTGTTGAAAGGGGCATTCATATTTCAATTCTGTCTATTTATCACCATTGCATGTTACTGCATGATACAACTTAATAAAATGTATTAATAATAATTCATAATAAAAATAGAAAATATGGATATTAGAGTGTGAGAAAGAAAGATGGCTCACTCGACCAGAAAAAGAAAAACAAAACACAAGAAAACAAAATGGGGCATATCTGACTATGGTAAAAGGGAACATTCATGGGCCACGTTCAAAACAAGAAAATTGGAACAGAAGAGCAGGTTATAAACACATGAGGCTATTGTGATCAAAGAATTTAGCAAACGGACCATCAACACAGACAAGGGCACCTCTACCCTTCATGGCTCACATCCGACAGCTGTCAGATCAGCCAGAGAATTTTTAATTGATGGTGGGTTCATTTATTCTTATGTATTATTCCTACTTATTCTAATAAAATGTACTATTAGTATGTACTTACACAACTGAAGGATTGCATTTTTACTTGTTTTAATGCAGTGTGATTATTTATGATTGTTATTGTGTTTTTAGCATGTTTTAAGCACTTTGCCTTGTATGAATTATCCTGTTCTCTGGGGGGGGGGGGGACAAAACTGACACAAGGACAACTCTACATCTACTGTAAATTGAGAGTTGCTGCTGGGGGAGAACTGTTGTTTGTCGAGTAGCGAACTCTCTGCAGTTAATTATAGTCAGATCATGGAATGAAACTCATGCTCCACATCTCAGAAGAGACGAAGAGACGTTTTATATACGTTTCAGCATCATTGAACAATAGCCAATCATAGCTTTCTAATTCACAATCCCATCTGATTACCCTGAGCAATCAGCAGAACACAACCCTTATTGACTGCGAGACGTCAAACCCGT